TAGCTTATTCTATATTGACGTTTATATAGTAATGCACTATCATGTACTCCTGAGAGTGTCATTCTGGCAAGTTGATGGTCTTATTTAGCCTTATGGTTCTAGAGCCGGGAGAGGCCGGGTATTCGACATAGCGAGTCTAGACCAAAGTTGCATTTGAGATTATAATTGTGCCGCCGCATTGTGCTTCAACTTCTAGACGTTTCGATACCTCCTATGACAAATCTTCAAAAGACATATGTTAGAATCACTAGATGGGCCAGTAACTCTCAAAATTCTGTATCCACAATGCACCCAAGACACAAACAAATGGAACACCCTATTCCAGAGTGAATGCTCCTTGATGTTAGCTTAACTATCCGTGATAAATACCATCCGTTACTCTACAACATCACCATGTTAAGTATGTTATTATATGCAGGGTAGTTGGTGGAAGCCCGTGTGGGGATGCAGCGATGAGGATTGCTTTCGTGAAGTCGGTGTTAGCAATGGGGGCTTGTTTAATATTACCTAGTACTTATTGGTGAGGACAGAATATCACAGTAGCAAACTCTGCTTTAGTATTTTTGGCTTCTCAGTGTATGGTTGCAATACCGCAGTGAACCCGCACTGTCTACATTGGTGGGCCTTCAACTGAGACCGTGGTCTTAATTATATGCCGGCCATGACTGTCGGGGTCTATATCAATCAACATTGCAGGCTATCCATAAACATGGATATCGATCTCGATCTTGATATTAGGCCCACACCCGCAGCCATACGCACAGGAAGGCCATATTGCCTTATTGGCTCGCACCAGATTATGAATACCACCAAATACATCAGCCTGATCCCTAATGTCAGGAAGAATTGTATAGGGCTGAGAATATCACGAGGTAGGGTGTGGCGCAGTCTTGGCATGATTACATTTAAGCTTCCCCACGTCCACGAGACTCTTTTCTTTCGCTTACTCTGTTTAAGAGATGCAGACTATATTTTCTCACCATTATGGTCAACACTGGACTTCCAAGCAAGGATTGTCACACTTGTCGCCGTCGCCGGGTGAAGGTGGGTTCCAACTGATCATGACAATATTGGTCACTAACACACAGGAAGTGTGATCTCGGACGCCCTGGCTGCTTGCGCTGTAAGAAGATCGGCCATGACTGTCCCGGCTATAGGGACTTGAGCAGGCTGGGGTTTAATTTCCGCATCCTAACTCCTGAATCCTACCTGTGCCATAAGGATCCGAATCATGACCCACAGGTGACAAAAGGTTCCGAACAAGAACAAGATCAGCATTTCCGATTCGCTGGAACGATACAACCACAACTAGCACTCACATACACGCCGACTGATCAATGGGAGGACCATGCAAAGCCGCTTGTCATCAGCCAATTCACAATTCTAACCTTGCAGGGTGCTCGTGTGTACGGCTCGTTTGACTTCCTGCCGCATCTATTTGAGCGCACCGATGCCAAATCTACATTGCACAAAGTGTGCAATGCTGTTGCTTCCGCCTGCTTTGACAACCGGTCACGGTCTGACAGTATGGGATTTAGCCATAAAAAGCTTTATGTCAAGGCCTTGCAATCCTTATCAAGTGACGTCTCACACGTGGAGAAGCAGAAGCAAGACCAAACGCTGGTGGCAGTGTGGCTGTTGTGTTTGTATGAGGTAGGTTAGTTCTCATGCTCACAGTGTAGTCGCAGAGCTAAAACGTCTTTATATTGTAGCTCCTAGTTGGGGCACCGAGTCATAAGTCCCAACTGGAACCTCGGGGCTGGAACGCGCATGGTGAAGCAATGCTTGGACTGTTGCGCTTGCGAGGCCAGAACCAGTTCCTGACCAAGACAGGATGCTAGCTTTTCCAGATAGCGTATCCTATCATTGTAAGTGTTCCGTAGGCTGGCTGAAGCCACGTCACTCTGTTCTGACGTTCTACGGCGTAGCAAATACAGGCGATACAAGCAGGCCGGCCACCGCCACCAGAAGCAATCGCATGGTTGCATTCGATGCAGACATCCCCCGTGGCGAGGGAGATGCTATTTCTGCCGGCATTCTTATACAGTGATTTAGCTTGTCGAATCTACAGTACCATCCGCGATTTGATCGACCAAGGTTCATGCGAAAAAATGCTCAAGAGCATCGACGACGTAATAGTGGCTTGCAGAAATCTTGAATCGTCGATAGATGCAGTTATTACTCAAGGGCCAGGCCCTCAATCACAGCCAGGTCCATCGGACGACCTAGCAACAGGACAAACTCAGAGGTGGTTAATGAACCAGCATGCCGCGAACTATCTGAATGCATTTCTCTTTCGAGTTTATGAAGGAAGTGTAGAACTGCTTTCCCAAACACTAGAAGCTCATGTATCGCCGAAAAAGCACGCTGAGCTCCTGTGCCAACGCGAGTCTAGCATTAAACGGTTACTTCACCTGGCAGACCGCATCATAGTATCGCTCCCGCTACTTATGCCGGCGAAAGTGGCCAGAACTGACCAACGGGGTCCAAGCGTTCCAACATGGGGACACGCCCTGAAGCTGCTTTGGCCATTGGGTCTAATTGCGTGTTCTGCCCATGTGCACGACAGCCAGCGTGCTGCTGCGAAACTGGGTCTACTTCGAATAGGCTATGAGGTTGGGATTATGCGTGCGGTAAGAACATACGCTTAAATTAACGAACAACTAGTCTGGACAAGCACAGGCTATTCAACATAAACTTCCAGAAATTGCAACTACAGAAATGATTAAATTGAGCGATAACAATCACAATGCGGCTGTACCTGGACCAAGAGCCACGACAATCACACGCAACAAAACTCCCATCTTCACCGAGCAACAAAGTATGCACAAACTGCACCCCTTAATAGGAACGCGAAGTCTGGTTCTCAAACACCTCGTCCAACCAGTTCAGAGTAGCCAGTGCTAGCTGAGGCTCAGCCCCAATGGCACAATGCTCTCCCGCACCGACATTAGTTTTGAAAAGATGATAATGAGCCTTGTCCCCAAGCATCCGCGCCATCCTTTCCGGCTGACCGGGGGCGAGACCGTCGTCCTCGCCCGATGCAACAAACACCGGACAGGTGATTTTATCCAGCATCGACTGGTTGAGAGCCATTTCGCCCATTTTAGTCATCCATTCGAAAGGGCTAGTAGTATTGAAGGACCATAGTCCCTGATCAAGGCCCCATTTCAGTTGTGTGCTGCTTAGTTTCTTGTATGCCTCCCAGACCACCGCATCGAAGGCGGTCGCATTTCCACTGCGATACAGTTGACGCACCTGCTGTGGGAATTTCTGCAAAGTTGACTCCTGAAGATCAAGCATTCCATCGATTGCAAGGACAGCAGCAAGACGGTGTTCACGAGTGGCTGCCAAAGGGGCTAACTGGCCACCGAACGAAACGCCTGCCAACGCGATCCGGTCTGCGTCCACGTCATCACGAGTTCTTAACCAGTCAACGACGGGAGTGACCGCACTCCACCAGTCGGGGATGAAGCCAATGTTAGAGTCACGTCGTACTGTGGGCTGTCCGGGCCCCTCGTAGGTGACAAAGTTCCACCCGCGTGCGAGGATTTCCTTGCCAATCTGATGGTAGGAGTCTTGCTGAGCTGCATCGAACCCAGAGCCGACCAGGATAGTGGGAAGTCGGTTGCCTTTAGTGCTCGTCACATTGGCCGGAGATGACTTCGGGGCCGAATAGAAATACACGGGAATCTTGAACCGGCCCCCGTCGAGCTCTACCTGCTGCGGCGGCTCAGGCAGCAGCTTCACTGCGGTGTCATAGTGGTCCAGCACGGAAGACCAGAGAGTTTGAATGCGGGGATCGGAAGCATTTCCGTGCAGGAAGAAGTCCGCTGCGCGATAGTAGGTCGACGCACGGAAATGCGCCTCACGAGCCGAGACGGGAAACCTGGTGGCGTTTACTGACGTAGCCTGGTCCGAGATTTGGTCTGCCAGGAACTTGAATTCTTTATAGAAACTTTCCATGTCGCCAGGCTTGATCTGGGAGGCTGCGCGAAGGACCTCGCCCGTAGCAGCACCGCCGCCATTGCTGAGAGAGAGAAAGGTCTCCAGCACGAAGGCAAACTCAGGGTCACTGCTTAGTTGGTGGATCGACGAGGAAGAGTTGGTGATGGTGACAGTCGGGATTGATCCATTTGCTGTCTGCTTTATATGTCAGTGACTGATATCCAAAGGAAGTGTTCCATGGTGCAATATACCACTAGGGTGAACAGTGCTCCGACACAGAGTGATAGGCGGAGAAGCATTGCTGTCAAATGGTTTGCAAAGAGCATGTACGAATTTAGATCTCAGAAACAATGTTTTGATGTTGATGAAGATGGATTAGAACATACCTCGCAGGTCTAGGGAGGAATACCACAGTTTATATATTGTAGAAAGTGATCTAAAACTGCATTGCCTTGGGCGTTAGCTTTCGCGGTAGGTTAACTACTAATTCTTCACCAGTCGGATACACAATCTGTCCGCCTGAATCACACTGCCTATTTTGGAAAGCCTTTCGAGCTGATGAGGATCCGGCCTAATTAGTCAATCCAAAGCAGCCGAACGGGCAAACAAGCATCACCGATCGCTGCCATCTTGGGTAATCAATTCGAGCCTAGTCTATTCTGGGAAGGGTGGGTCAGGGTTCAAACGGGAATTACTATACCAAAATGCGTTAGCCTTTCGAGGGTAAGCATTTGCTGGTCCCACATATGGCGGATGCTGACATTCAGAGTACTGGCTGCCATATTTAGCAAACAACAAGAATCTCGGGTAGGTTGCCTGACTTCCAAATCGTGGCGGTGCATTAAACCTCACCCCATTAGACTTTGTAAATACATCGCCCTACTCTGAACTAGTCGTGCTAGTTTCTGACATCGTCGCTACCACATTAGTTATTCGGATGCTCGATGAATAACTGTTTCCATTTCGAGCGTTTGCCATATTTGGTACCATATGACATCTGTAGGGCTACTCAACACTCTATCTTGTCATTTTACAAGTATCACCATTTTGTGTTTGATCTATCGGAGTCGGAAGGATCAAGCTATTATTCAGATTAATGCTATATTTTATTGATGGTTGACATGTTACTATTGCGTTCTGCGAAAATATTGGCTGTGACATATATGGCCGACACAGCATTTCGCTTTGGGCAATATAAATTTCCTGGAATACATAGTAGACTCACGACCATCGAGGGCCCCCGCGTTACTGGAGGAACTAGCGAGCGTACACAAACAAAACAAAAGTGCCTAAAGTTGGAATTGAGGCTAATGCTTATCCTTACATAATACTTCCCATCCCTGCAAGCTTTGCATAATTAAACGAGGACAACTTTGCCTCGGATATCAACATTGACTGAATATCAGCCTAAATCAGCAGCCTTGTACTGGGTGCGTCACTAGTGCAGTGGGATTACACATGGTCGGTCAGGATCTATAGTTATGACAGTTGACCAGATCCACTCGGGATGGAACTTGATGTCAGCTAGTGTAGAGCCTCATGCTGTTCTTCGTTGGGGTTGGCGGTTTATTATCAAAACCAAATTATAGTTGTTACTTTGAACCCGATGATTGACAGACATTTCAGTCGTCACAGTCCATCTATCACAGATGCTGAGCACCATGTTGGCGAAGATGTGCCATTCACATCTATGTAAGCTTCCGATTGGCTGAGAGATTAAACACTCTATATAGCTAAGTAGTCTGCTTGCAACCAAGTACTTCATTCAAAGTATAGAATTCATAGTTGGTTTCGAACAACGCAACTGTGACCGGAAAGGTCGCAGTTGATATATCTTTGTTTCTCACATTCGTGTCTGGCGCGAGGGACCATGCCTAAGCAGACACATACCGCCCTTAGCTCAAGTTGTGGAATCAGAACTGCGATTGGTATCCGACTGGCTCAGCATGGCGCAGATCTAGTGGTGAACTATCTTTCCTCTACTAGCGCCACTTGGAAAGTAGTCGACCAGATACGCAGCTAGGACACAACGACTATCATCGTCAAGGTGGACATGTCACACGAAGAGAAGATTAAATGTCTCTGCCAGTGTGTAATGAAAGAGTTTGACCAGCCGGGTATTATCATGAGCAACTCTGGCATTGAGCATTTGGGTACACTGCCTGACGTGACCGTGAGAGATATTGATGAGGTCTTTTGCCATGGATATCAAAATCGGGTTTCCATTGCTCAGCAGGCCTACAGATGCTTGACTGGATACATTCGTCTAATTCTGAGTCTCTCTACCTCGGCTCAGATTCGGGATCTAAATTGCAGACTTGACTATTCGTCTGGCTTATCCGGTGGTTCCCAAAGCACACTCTATATGCTCCTGTCAAGGCGAGCAATCTAGGAGATTTCAAAATCCTTGTCCCATGAATTTTGTGTTTGGAATATCGCACTCATCTTCATTGCTTGGGAGCTGTGAAAACAGATATGGAGGTCAGCCAAGTGCCAAGTACTTGCTAGACGGTGGCAAGATGACGGTGTACGACATCTATGCTGTGCCTTCCAAGCGATCGCCACTGAAGCGGCCTGGCTTATCGCTGGTGTCATTGCGTTGATGGCCAGTGCTGAGTCTCATGTGGAGAGACCCATATGAGCCAAGGGTGTTAGCCTCAGCTGGCCATCATCATGCCCCTATTAGTAATTTCTCTAAATGTATTTGACATGGCGTTAATGTGTAATGCGCCAGCCTTGGGAGATCCAGGAATTCAGTGTATCTGACACCAGCAAACCGGTACATGCTTTATGCTAAGAAGCCACTGCATGCTAGCAGCTAGTCCAGTTTCAGTAAAAGAAAAGAGAGCACGGCACCATGTCCCGTGTGATTGATTCGACGGTGGCACATCGTTCGTCGAGAGACTTGGACCTTGTCAGGTGTCAATAGGGTGCAACAAATGAAAGGGGATCGTTCATCCGAGACAGTCGACTATGCTCATGAGAGCCTAGGCTATTTAATTTATAGGTGGGGTATGTCATCCGGTGGATGCTTAAGGAAATTGTCTACCTGCATCGGCTATGACACCCGAGACGGGATCTCCTCTGTGCTGCCCCACGGTGATACTTTCACGACATTGCGGGGTGGCTTGCGATATAGTATATACTTGATAACTCCTGGCTTGCCTGTTGGCTAGCTGTTTTAACCCGACGAGACTGATCCACAATCTCTTTTAGAGCACACTGGCGAAGGCCGCCCAACACACGGCAGCCTATCCGGTGTCCCACTAGAACCTATAGTAAACAAAAAGTATATAAATACGAATATCTTCCTCGCATTCTCCGTCAAAGCTTCCGGCTGTTCTTGCCTGGCCGTGGTACCACTTTTCTAACCTCGTCTCACATTCTTTAACTGCGTGAAGCTTCACTTCATTACGAACATGGCTTCGTCCATCTTCCATGGAACCTCGTATGTCACAGGTGCCACCTCAGCCACGCTGTTGGCAGCCGATCTTGAACTCAGCTTCTGGGGCGGCGTGGATCCCAAAACAGGGGAGGTAATTGATCGTTTCCACCCACTGAGTGGTCGTTTTCTGAAAGACACCATCCTAGCCATACCCGGAGGCAGAGGATCCTGTGGCGGCAGCGTCGTCATGATGGAGCTGATTCTGAATGGCCTGGGCCCCAAGGCCCTGATCTTTGAGCGTCGCGAGGAGATCATTACACTGGGCGTTATCGTTGCCGAAGAGATGTTCAGCAAGTCGGCCGCGGTGGTGACACTGAACCCGGAGGACTTCCGTCGAGTTCTGAGCTGGGATGGCAAGACTGTTCATGTACAAGGTGGATTAGTCTCGGATGGTCCCTTGAATGTCAATGCTACCGACAGAGCTGTGGAACCCGCGGTGGACCTGACCAAGTGCAACGTCCAGCTTACTGATCCCGACCGGGCCATGCTGGATGGAGTGCACGGCGAGGCGGCGCGGATCTCGCTGAAGATCATCATCCGAATGGCGGAGATGATGGGAGCCCGAGAACTGATGAATATCCGCCAAGCGCATACAGATGGCTCCTGGTACGGCCCTGGCTCAGTGGCCTTTGGAAAGAGGCTTCGTGACTGGGGCGGCAAATTCAAGGTCCCTACTACTATCAACTCTCTCAATATTGACCAGAAACGATGGCGGGCTCTCGGAATTGAAACAGAGTTTGGATACTCGTGTGATGAATTGGCTAAGGCTTTTGTCGACATGGGCGGCAAGATTTCATTTACCTGTGCCCCTTATCTACTAGACACGGCACCGAAGCTAGGCGATCCAATTGCCTGGGGAGAGTCTAATGCCGTTCTCTACGCAAACAGTGTCCTGGGTGCGAGGACACTCAAAAACCCTAATATGCTGGAGGCCCTGATTGCCCTGACTGGCCGCGCACCCAAGGCCGGAGCCTATTTGGACGAGAATCGCGTTGCGTCTATCTGGCTCCGGGTAACACCACCAGAGGCGACGGACGACTCCTTCTGGCCGATTTTAGGCTACGCTCTGGGCGCCATTGCCACCGCCCACATTCCGGTCATTACTGGACTGGAACACCTGAAGCCCAATAGCGACGATTTCAAGGCGTTCTCAGCGGCATTTGCTACATCGTCCAGCGCTCCCATGTTCCACATGGTCAATCTGACGCCAGAGGCTCCCACGCTGGAGGCCGCATGTCGTGAAGGCATAGTCCCCAAGGCCATCGATATGACTTGGAAAGATCTAGCCGCGACCTGGGATGAATTCAACCATGGCTCTGAGCCACGCGAAATCGATCTCGTCTCATTTGGCAACCCACACTTCTCCCTCCGAGAGATCAAAGAGATCGCGAAGCTGTGCCAAGGACGAATCAAGAACGAGCGTGTTGCCGTGATCGTCACCTGTGGTCGTGCCCAGTACGGCCTTGCCGTACAGGCGGGCTATGTCCGAGAGCTTGAACACTTCGGGGTCCAGTTCTTGCAAGACACCTGCTGGTGCTCCATCCAGGAACCGGTTATCCCCAGGGATACCCGCACGATCATGACAAACTCGGGCAAGTACATCCACTACGGACCTGGACTCACAGGCAAGCACTTTGCCTTTGGCAGTCTGGAGATGTGCATCAATGCCGCGTGTACGGGGAAGACGACTGGTGATCCGCCTTTGTGGTTAGCAGAAGCCAGATCACGATAGTCGGCGTTTATGTGCAATTCAAAGTTGGCAGTTCTGGTGGGTGCGTTGTCAGGTAGTAAGTATCCAGGTACCCCAGCTATAACATGTAAATACGGTCGGAAGGGACGGGTTGGACCCGATCCGAATTCTCCCCGAGCCCGCCGATTTCGGATGCGGGTATGGAAGGCAGAATGCGCGGTCGAGTCTGGACTCGGGATATTAATAATATAGAATCTATTGTGTAGTCTAAGCTAGGAAACCGTTTTTTTTTTTCAGGTCAAAATAGTAAAACATTGGCGAACATATGTTCAAGAGGAAACAAGTTAGGCAAGCAGGGCCTTGACACCGTTCTGGACACCGCCAGGGTTGGCCCCGCGGACGGTCAATTCCTTGATCTGCTGGCCGTCCTTGAAGAAGGCGAAGGTAGGCATGGCACTGACACCCAAGTCGGCAGCGACGCTCTGAAGCTCGTCAACATCTACCTTGTAGAACTCGACGCCCTGGTTCTCGTTGCTGAACTTCTCGATGGCAGGGGCAACAGCCTTGCAAGGGCCGCACCAGGTGGCGAAGAAATCGACCACGACTGGCTTGCCAGAGGCGATGACCTTCTCCTGGAATTCAGCAGGCCTAAGGAGAGGGTATTAGTGTATCTGTTACCGAGGCAAAGAAATATGAAAAAGTTAATGCAAAGCAATTCATCGACATACGTCTTGATCTCCTGGACACCCATTTTGGCAGAAGTGGATCACAATTGCTCGGAGGGATGGCAAAAAGTAACTTCGGAACGCTGGAGGAGTGAACGAGCGTGGAGCGAAAAGGATCTCGAGATAAAGTTAAGGCTGGAAGCAAGAGAAGAGGAAAGGTGAAGGGAAGATGGATTTAAAATCAATTGCTAGCTCGCAAGGAGGGGCTCTTCTGATCAACGAGGGGCACAACTACTACGAATCCTATGATAGGATGTCACAAACGGGTGGAAAATCCACCTCTTGGGCGCTTCTTGAAGGCCATTGGTAGTTATAGAGTCGTTGTGGAGTCAGTATTACTACTAGTCCCGCCTGGATTCACGTAATTAAATTCGGCAACGGGCTGCCCATATAAGCGAACGACGCACCACCTGTGATATGAAAATACTAGATAAATATACTGTATCGAGATTCAACAACGGGATTATATCGAAGAGGCGGAAGAAGAACAGAGAATTAGAGAGACCGTGGACTTGGTATTGAAAGACTTGACAGGTACTTTCTTTTGTATTTTATTTACATGGGCTTTCACGCTGTGTTATATAAGATTCTACCATGGAAGCCCCTATATAGGTAAACAATGATTGAATAGTTAGGCTCTAACAGCAAAGAGAATATTGATTGATTAACTTCGGTGGAATTATGAGTCTTCAGCACAAGGTTCACCAAGCCAGGGACTGGGGCATCTGAGGTATATTCTATATTGATCTACATGACAGTCGATATAGTTTCATCTTGAACAAAATCAGGCAATTGTAATGTTGAGCTGGGAGTTTTATTGAACTACTACAATAAACCACCTCCAATCAAGGATGAACAATATCTGACGCCCACCAGGCTGACCCTCTTACAAAAAATGCTGGAGACCAACCTACGAGTAACATAGCTGAATATTATGTAGCTGACGGGCATGCACAAGCTTATCAATCAGCCCCATCGCTTATTTGTGTTCGATTACCTGTCCGCAGCGAACTTAATTATTTATAATACCGACTGCTACGGCCACTCTAGGGGTAGTACCTGTGATATTCGTTGTATGCTATTACGTTGATGACCAACAGATATTGACTCAGGCAAGGTTGTGTGAAAATACAAATTCATTTGTTTGTAGGACCAAGTCTAGATAACAAGCTCAATCCAAGTATGAAGTGAAAGGCGTTCTGGTTAGGCAGACTATCAACCCCCACCTTTCCAATATATGCAATCCATTACCTCGTAATACTTCAGTCCAGGAATAGAAAGCTCAGTACCTATCGCAACTGTAGCAGTGGCCCTGATAGATAGAACGAAACCCAATGGACATGCGTCAAGGGACGGTGTATTCAGTTCGAGTCCGGGTTACACTGGTAAGCCTCGATGTTATTGATGCAGTAATCAGGAAGTCTCTTGAAGCCAGGATACTTCTTGCCTGAGCACGTGCTGGTGTTCCTAGACACAGTCAGTCGATCCCTTCCCAGTTATCAAGTACCTAATCAGAGTGGAATACTCACGGAGTTCCGACAGTACAGTAAAAGCCTTTGGTATCTACCGCAAACGAACCAGCATTCTTCTTGAATCCGGCCCGAATCTTATGCGTTGTCGATGGCTTGAGGCATTCATGGTAGCATGGCCCCTTGAAGTTAAAGCCCTGGCATACCCTTATGGCAACGCAAGCCTGGGGTTCGATATCGGAGGGATTGGCTACATCTGATGGGTTTCTTCAGGTCAGTCCATGGGTATTCGAGAGATCTGTACCGAACTCACCTTCAGCGGAGGCGACGGCCTGTCCAGCCAAGAGTGCCATGGTAGCAGCAAGGACCTTGAGGAGATTCATCTTGACAGAGCCGGGAGATGTAGACTTGATATTGCTTGCACTATTGGCAGAAGAGTGTATTGTTTCCTGGATGAGTCCTGAAGCATCGACCAGTGTCGTGTATTTATATGTTGACCTGTGCCATACAGCATTTCACATCGGATAATTCCAAGAAGATCGGCATGGCATTGAAATCCATCTGAATACCATGGAAAGACTTTGGAAACCGTCAGCCCAACGCGTAGTTCGGATAGAGACAATAATTAGTCAATTCCTTGCATATGCCAAGCGGAGAAGTAGGTCGCCTTAATCGCAGGTGGCCTGACGTGCAAGCGGAGCAACCCGTTTTGCAATCGAAGTAGCGCTCTATAGCTCCCAATATGGCTGAGTTGGTGGAGATCTACATTCTTTGCCTTCTCCATAACACGGTGGGTTGATTATCATTGGGGCTCACACGAGGCTGTGTCATGGCTTGCCGTTGGCGGTGCCCTTCGCTGTCATGTACCATTACCTAATTCAAGCCGTGTCGTGTATAAGCAAACTCACCTGCAACATGTCAGATCGTATCTTAGGCGTCCTTTTGTCGGCCTTGTGTTGGATTTCTTCCGAGTCGCCACCCCCTGGGATCGGAGATCTACAAAACCAACTTCAGCTATACCGACTCTCCAACTTTTTCTTTCCCCACGGGGAAGTGCGGTCTTTTACCAGCCAATGACACAAAATAGAGGAAAACTACTATATTCTAAACATAGAATGAAATCTGACTAGTTAGGTAATCGTGTCTCATTTATGCAGCACACGGATGGGATTGCATCCAGGAATAGTACGGTACCTCTCTGCCCACCCCGGAGTGTCTAAGGTATCTCTCAACCTCGAGCCAAAACGCCAGGGCCGAGAAGAATGTCTGAAATTAAAAGGCTAGTACGAAAGATCTGGATCATGCCCAACTTCAAGATGTTCAATGTATGTCATCGCTTGGAGAGCTCGCAACCAAGGCGACCATATCATTTCCGACAGAGTGAGCATGGCCCTGGAAATGAAGCTTTAGCCGAGATGCCAGAGACTGCTTGATCACCTCGTAACGGGGATGTTGTTTGTGCCACATATCCACCAGTAGCTCCGCAGCAATCATGCACCGCGTGGACAAATCTTCCTCCGGAAACTCATAGTGTGCACGGATTCGGCGCAGGGATATATCTCGAAACCCCCGTTTTTCCAAGCGTTGCACTGCCGCCTGCAGGATATGACCTTGATGATCGATTCGGTGTGAACGCGTCACAGCATTCAGGTGCACCACTGCCTCATTACCGGGAGCCCCTTGAAGGATAACAATCTTGGAAGCCCGCCGGCGCGCCACACGGACCATTTCCTGGATAGCCTTCTCAAGATCCATGGTGTGGTCAAGTATCCAAGGGGCTAAGACGACCTGAAAGCTCCCCGTTGAGTATGGAAGATCTTCGGCAGGCCCTGGGAAATACTGGACTCCTTTGTCCCGTGTATAGCGACTCAAATCATGCTGTTGCCCGAGAGCAAGCACGTTCTGTCCCTCTCCAAGTTGTTCGAACAGCGCCTCAAGATGCTTGCTCACCAGACGATCGTTAAATATATCCACACTTTCAACCGGGGTGACGCGCATTGGAGAGGTGGGGAGTGGATATGGCCCCAGCAGTGCTGGGCTTCGACCTTTCTCGCCAGGACATAATAATAGGCTTCGGGAGCTATATACTGGGTACCAGCGGGGAAGAAGAGATCATTGGCGGGTTCAGCTGCAATGATAAACCCGGCACTTCGAAACAGTCGAAGCCATCCATCTTCTGAATAGAACATCTCCTTGGTGTAGTTGCCCATCCACGGCTTCCTCAGCATCCACACACAATCCCATGTGGGATCATAGGTGCAAGTCTCCGATAGCAGGCCGGTGCTAGGCGTCACGGCAATGGCCAAGTATCCGCCCACCTTGAGCCACTCCGAGAATTTGAAGATCAGGGAATATGCCTCGCCAGGGGTATGCTGAAACAAAGAGAGAATGGCAAACACAGCATCGTAGGGCTTGGAAGGATGGAAGTCGTTCATGTTGGCTACTTCAAAGGTGCCCTGGACTTGGGATTGGGCGATTTTCACCATCTCGGGGGAGAGGTCAATCCCATGAACTTCATGGCCTGCACTTGCCAGGATATCCGCCACCGGCTTGCCGGTACCACAGCCCACATCTAGAATTCGACTACCGGGTGACAGCTCCTTGGCGGCGCGATGAACAAACGCACGAAGCGGGGCATTGTTTGCAAAGGCAGCTTCATAAGTCGCTCCAAGGTCATTGAATAATGACTCTACTACAATCGTCATGGCGGAAGGTCTTTGGCATGAGCTTAACAAAATATATCAAGTGTTGACGAAAGGGGAAAACTAAGCTCCTTTCACTCTGAAGGCGTTGGTCTGGAATCAAAGAAAGTCCTATGCACCTGAATATCTTAGTATATATACTGGGGAAAGATCAAGTAGCAGAGAGGACAACCTGTGCAGGTTGCGTCTTCCTTGCCCATTAGAGGTGTTGACGTTGCAGGTTGCCTCGTCCTCACCGCAACTTCAGGAAAGTCCTGATCATTTAGATGAAATCCCCAGACTAACAGTCAAGTCTAATGTTAAATTCATTGGACAGTATTCAGCGCAGCCAACACATTCAACTTAGAATGCACCATTGTCCTTGCAGACAGAGTTGTAATCGATGTGAATCTTGACCTTGACCCTTACCGTACCCCGGACGGGTTCGGGGTGGGTCTTCAAATGGGTTAACCTACAATCGAAAGTCTAAATAAACTTCCAGATGTACCCAGTATGGCTAGATTTATCTGAGTCGCATATATACATGCAGCGCAATGAGCCGGATTTACTGGTCGGGCAAGTTGATGTCGGCGCCAGGAAGCCGCTGCGTTCTCCTATATACTGCTGTAAGTGGAGTATTGCGTACACTGAGGCAACCAGGCCGTGCAATGGTCAGCAAGGGACCTCCTTTTCTACTCCGGAACATACAAATTTCTAACTTTAACCGTTATTTCACTCGGTCTGGGAGAGCAAATTGTAGCAGACGATGACCAGGATCACGAAGACGGGGCTGGAGATCTGCCAGCCTCGCGGCGAGAATTTATAAAGCCGTAGTTAGCCTTTATCAAAAACTAAATCAATTGATCAAGATTGTATTTCCTCTTAGAGAGTAACTATTGAACGTCTAGCCATGGAGATGCCCCCAGGCAGAATCTTTTTCAGAACGGCCCCAAAAGATCTTAAGGGCTGGGGTTAATCAGAAGTCGCTGAGATAGTAAAACAGTTTCAGGATTTGAGACCTAGCGAAGATAATTATGTCCTAACAATGTGAGGACAAGTGTGATAATCAACGGGTACTGGTATATATTATCCGCGACATACAGCCAGAGAACATCAGATGTAGTATTTCAACTAGAGTAGAGGGTATTCTTACATATAATACAGCTCTTTCTATAATTCACAGAATATTCCGTCTAATTTCTGTAATTCTAGGAATATCTTTAATATTTATGAAAGTGAGGCTGGATCAGACAGACGTTGCTTTCCCACCTCGGCTCCCCACCCGATGTCCCCACCAACCCCAGGCTGTCCCCACCACCGCCTGTGGCAACGCAACTCTACGTGTTCTGGATCTCATTTTCCACTCTGGCCTTTCCTTCTCTCAATCTACTCTATCATCCTTCGCTCCCACTTCCCCAGGCGCCACGTCCCACTTCCTCCTCTCTCTGTACATCCCGGCTAATATAGGGTCACGACGATCATGACATCGCCTCCAGTCACAGGTGGAGCCAAGCCAACCAGTAATTTCAAGAAATTTCGCTGCGCCGTGTGCGATAAGACATACAGCAAGTTAGAACATCTCACGGTATGTTATGATTCTTATGCGTGACATGACACGCGCTAAATGAACCATAGAGACATGAGAGAACCCGTCAGTAGTCACTAGCACAGCAATAGAACTCAGCCCTCGTGTCGAAGAAAAGCAAACAGCTGATGGGAACTAGATGTAAACCTGAAACCATTTCACTGCACGCAATGTAATAAAGCCTTTGGCAGACAGGATGTGCTCAATCGGCACATGAAGCTGCATCAGAACAGGCCTGCTCCGAGTCCCACTACCAGTATTGCACATCAGCAGCGACAAGCTGAAACTAGCGGTGCAGTCCTTGCCGACACACCAGCGCCCCCGGTAACCTCGTTAGCGCCGGCGGATTACCGCATCTTCGACCAATCTCTCCTCGCCAGCCCCTATACGCAGGAATCAGAAAATCTGCTTGACTGGCTGATGCCTGATTTTCAGAACACTTCATCGCTGCTGTTACCGATGACGGATCTCTCCGATAATTCCCATCCGTTGATCTCAGCCTTAAGCTGTTTACGCTCGGTGCCCCCCGCTGATGCCCAGGGGAGCCCTGGTCAGCATGCAGTGCATGAAGTTCACAAGCTTGTTGATGATCTTTCTAAGAGACTGAACGATGATCTGCACAATACGGGAGTTACCCCTCCGTTCGTGGATGCGTGTTTAAGAGAATACTTTCGGCGAGTATCGCCATCTTTTCCGATACTCCACGAACCTACGTTCTCTGTGCGGGACTGTATCTCCCCTCTGTTGTTAAATATGGTTGCTTTGGGCTCACTCTTTGTCTGTCTCCCCAATGCTGCCGAGCAAGGAGAGATGCTGTGGAAATTGGGGCATACCGCGGTTGCAGCCTCGTGGCAGAGCTTGATCGAAGTGCGAGGGCCGCAGGATCAGTGCAATGGTATCCAGCTGGTCCTAACGGCTCTCCTGGGGCAGACGTATGCACTACTTTCCAGCAATACCAGCATTCGGACCACCGCGTTTGTCTTCCATGGATTAGGCTTCTACTGGGCGAGAACTTCTGGCATGTACTCTGTGGACGATCTTCAACTAGGAACTATACCCAACTTGGAAGCAGACTCGGGGGTCAAGGAGGCCGCCTGGCGCACTTGGGTGGCCGCCGAAGTTCAACGGCGAGCAACTCTCGGACACTATGTCTTGGACGGGCTCATTTCGCAGGCGTCAGGCTCTGCCGCCAGCGCTCGTCATCTCACAAACAAAATCGGGACCGCATGTTCCGACGCAGCATTTGCTGCCGAAACCGCCGACAAATGGATTATTGAAATGGCGCGGTTGGACCATGTACGGATCCCATTCTCAGAGCTATTTATCAGAGTGTGTGCGAAAGATTACATTAAGGCGCCATTACAGTTGTCGCTGCTTTCCGTCGCGGTTCTGCTTGAAGGCCTGCAATCATTAATTGCCGAGCTACATGATGTTGACAGTCCCGCTTTGGGAACCGTTCCACGCTCGCAGATCATTCGAGGTCTCCTAAACCTTTATGAGGGCGATCTCTGCACCTCGCGCAGCGTCGAATCCCTCCAGAATCTGATCCGCTGGCATGCCGCGTGCATCGAACTTTCCACCCCCACCATATTTCTCTACCGGCGCATCTGCGACGAGTACAAATTGCCGCAGGTCCTTAGCGGTATTCCAGTTCGAGGCTGTGCGCGCCCTTTGAACCTCACCAGCTGGGCCCAAAGTGTCGAGGCCTTCCGCGCCGTTCTCCACGCGGTCTCCATCATTCGTCTCGTGAACGAACTACCCAGCGGCAATACTCATGCAATGCATATCCCCGGCTGCGTCTTTGCCGCCTCCATGATTTTAATCGCCATTCACCTTTGGAATAAGACGAAGGTCAAGATCCCTAAAAGTTTGCGATGGCACGACGTGTGGGCCGGTGTCATCGCGGAGAACAATCCCGCCGATGGAACCCCACTGCACGAGAACATAGGTTATGCGACTACTCCGGCTTCTGTCTTGCCCTCCATATCCCCCATTTCGGCTGACTTCAGCGGGGCTGAGGAAATAATTCGCACATTGAACCCAACTGGCGCGGATGATGCGATGACATCGGTGAATATACTGTCCGAGGTGAATTCCCTGCAGATCAGCCTGAAGACAGTGGCCTCGCGGTGGCGGATTTCGTCACAGATGGAGGAGATCATTGGGCGTTTAGCGATGCTGCCTAGGCAGTAGCTAGCCATATGAAGCTGCATTAAATTTACGCGGAGAACGCCACCTTTGGCGCCCATACTTCGTCAAGCAGTCCGCCCAATGGGTCGAGATTGGATTGAAACTTTTGACCAATATCCCGGCCCTGTCCAGCTTCGAGGCCGTCACCCATGATACATTCCGCGATTGGATAACGACTGGCTTCCAGAGATACTTCGATTCCCCCGAGACCACCTGGCCCGTCTGGAACAATGCTGGCGGCAAAATTCTTCACTACCACAGCGAGTCGCACCCCCAGGTTCTGACCCCAGTTCTGTTCGCTACTATGAATCCGTCCGAAAGAAAATGTACCCTCCTCATACAACTAAAGTGGTGCCGATAGGTACCGCCTGTTTCTCGTCCCTGGAGGTGCACATTGTGGTGCCAACTCACTCCAGCCCAATGCCCCATAGCCGGAGACCACTTTTGTCACTGTTGTTGATTGGGCTGAGACGGGCATTGAGCCCAAGACTTTGAACGGTACTGTTCAGTCGACAGGAGAGCAACAGCAAATTTGTTGCTGGCCGCTCTGCCTCTACTTCACAATGGCAGCAAACCTGAGTGTGTTTATAATCAGGAATCTCTCGATACGTGGAAGTATGACTTAAATGCTTTCAAGATGCCAATTTCTTAATGTCAGTTGGAAATGAGGACCTTCTGAGCGTATACTATCAGATGCCACTCTATACAACTCTTAATGACTCGTTGCCCACTTCAGGTAGATAAAGGGACTATATTTTTAACATAGCTTTCGAATTGTATAAAAGACTACAGGAAATACGTTTGATTTGTCTTTTCATAACCTCCAGTGGCAGGCACTATGGTCTGTCAGTTTTCATGTATCCCTATCCTAAATAATATGAATATGCGTTCCGAGGTAATTCTGAGCTCAATCTTACCTCTTCTAGTTCGTACCCACCCTTGGCTATAAGAGGAGTGAACGAGGCAAATAAAAGTCTAGCGGGCAGGACCAACGGGAATGGCTTAAGGGGCAATGTGTTGATCTAAAAGCTAAAGGATAGAACAAGTGAAAGATAAATAAGTTGCAGACAAGGCAAGTGAAAATACATTGGGGCTCCAGGTCTTCCAAGCTGGTAATAACAGAAGGTGGAGTTTCGAACAAGCGCCGCCGTTTACCATCAAAACTTTCGTAAGACATCCGTACCGGACGAGGGTATCCAACAGCCCTCATATTTGTCGCGCACCATCTACCAGGCCAAATGACTCCTCAAAGCCTGTACAATGTGCGCTGTGCCAGCATTGCGGTCCAAGATAGCTAGAACATGTTGATCTGGACGCACCAACACCGCCTGGCCTTGGTTCAAAGGCACCACATCATCCCATTTGTCCTGACCCGGCTGCAACGAGAAGTCCACCCCTTTGATCACCACTTGAAGCGATATACTAGCGGCCACACTTAAAGGAACCTGCTTGAGTGCCGTTTGAACTGCGGACGTGAAATGTGAGGAGGACTTCTCGTCTACCAGAACAGTGAAACTGTCAAAGCGACACAGATCTAGCGTAGAGTATGTCATTTCCGCTACCTCCTGCGATTCGGCACCAATATATGACGAGTCAATGGCAGGAAGCTGCACCTTGTCGGGATTAGCTAGTTTGATCCAGGCATGCGGCAGACGAGCTCCAGGCACGCAGATGGCTCATACGCGGATGCGTTGTCGGGGATGCGCTTGTCGCCGTACACGTAACCGATGTGCAGGCCGAGGTTGTCGAAATGCTCGCGCTGATCCTCAATGCCCTTGCTGATCTCAACCATAGCCCTTTCATCATGGATTGTCTGGTATAGGTTGTGCCGAGCAACGTCGACATCAGGATCAGTAGTGCCGAGTGCCTTTAGCAACCCGAAGATTTTCTTTCCATTCTTCACGCTCTGTTGTGAGTTTACCAAGGCAACCTGACGACGCTCGGCTTCGTATGTATCCAACAACGCGTCCGTGGCGGAGCCATGGTGCACGGCGGCCAACTTGTACGCCAGGTTGTGGACGTCCCCGAGCCCGGAGTTCAGGCCTAGGCCTCCAGTGGGAGGGAAGGAATGAGCGGCATCACCAGCACTGTACAGTTTGGTTAGCTATTTGACAAATGTATGTTAAAGAGAGAAACTAGAAAGGTATACTGACAGGAAGACCTGTCCGTCACGGTAGGACTTGGCGACCTTTCGGCTCAGTATCCAGGGACGGAAACTGAGAATGTCGTACTTGACATTCGCACCGATGGCAGCGTCGACGACCTTGCGGCAGTGCTCTTCATTCCACGATTCGACTGGCCATTTTTTGGACTAGTTTAATCAATCAGTACCAATTGTGGTAGGGCTGTAGGAACGGGACGCGCACGTCAAAATTACAGATCAGAACTTGGTTTCCCGACAAGTCATAGCCGATGATGAATCCAGATACCAAAGGATCCATCACCCAGTGGAGCATGCCGACCTGCTCCTTCACGATGGGACGTAGGTCCGCGTTAAAGTGGATGGTCATCATTGTTTCGTCTAGATGGGCCGTTAGGATCTGAATGATCGAAATCCAAAAGGGAGTGGATATTTACAAGAATCCTCGCCCTCGCTTTTGATACCGAGAAAGCTGCGCACCGCACTTTTTGCGCCGTCGCAGGCAACCACATGCCTGGAGCGGACTTTGTATACTTCTTTTGAATCGCGGTCCTGGATTGCTGTGATGATATGATCATCAAACTGGTTCAGTGAGCAGCCATTACATGGAAAGGAATTGGTGCATATTCCCACCTGTTCCAAGCCAACAAAGGTGTGGTTCTTGCGAATCTCGACCAAGTTGCTCTTGGATAGCCTCTTGGCAATCAGCTCTTCGAAAGCAGGCTGTGGGATGTTGTGAATCATCTAAATACCATTTTAGTGTTTGGAAGACTTGAATATGGGTTTATGGGGAACTAACAGTAGGGGTGCTATTAAGAACTTCCGCGTCCATGCGTTCGTAGGGCAATTTGCCGACGTGTTCACCGGCCAAGTTTGTGATAAAGTTGACCCAGTAGGCCTCTTTGCGAGCCGTCCCGAGCTTGCGAATCTCGTTCACATCCAGCCCGAACTGGCGACACATCTCGAGGGACCGGGGACTCAGGGCATGGGCCTTGGGGGCCGCCAACCTGGTCGCATATCTTTCAGCAATCAGTGATCGGACTATAATGCCGTCAGTATTCATATCAACGATACGAGACCGTAGCCTAGAGGCGAGAACGAATACACACCGCCGAGCTGCTCTAACATGAATGCCAAAAGTAGACCCGATGGTCCACCGCCAATAATCAGGATCGGAACATCCTCATCGAAGGTCTCGTTGTGGAGAGCCGAAGGTGACATTTTGTGGTATAATGCGAATGTCTGTGCTTTTTGAAATCAGTTCTTGTCAGGTACGTTCTAGTAATTTGGTTTGAGTTGATATGACTTGATTAGCTTCAAGTAAATTGATAGGTATGCATCAATATAGAGAAGGTATCCTCCATTTATATCAAAGCAGGACATGTCGCGCCTCTCTTTCCCACCTCTGTTGTCAAGGAGAGCATAAGTTCATGTGGGGAAATACTTGTGGTGGGGAAGCCGAGGTGGGGAGTCACAGCAGAGACCATTCTACATCCGCGCTGGTCCGGCTACTGAAGGTGGGAAAACTCAATTTGACCTGGTTATTGGAAATGATCCTTTGGTCTTTTCTATTTTGATTTGATATATCCAAAACTAGCACTGGACCGAAGAAGCCATAGCTACGATGGAATGCGTTCCAGTCACAGGAGTGACCGCGTCTCATACTGATTTCCACCTTCAGAAGGCAATCTAACAAACACCCGGGGAGATATCTTGTTCCACGTGGGTGGCGTCTTCTACAAAGTGTCCTTGAACTCGGCGAAAATCGCCGGAAGAACAGTGTTCAAGTGTTGCATCTCGATGTTGCAGTGCACGATAAGATCATGAGCAATCTCAGTGGTGTACTTGGCCAACCAAAAGCGCGAACGCAGCTCGCGCGAACCATCCGGCAAGCGGCGGACCTGGTGGACCAAGTAGGAAGCGTTGTCAAAACCAGATGTCACATGAGCTAGAATAGGAGAGTCAGTATAGGAGATCCAGTGTGTGGGCTCAGGGGGGCAACATACCACCAGTCACAATGTGGGCCGCAACCACAGTCTCAATGCCAACTGCATCCCAGTTGGACTTGTCAAAGCCCAGCTTCGCGGGGTCGATAAAGGCGATGGTAAGCTTCGAGGCATCGTTGCCGATGTATTCATCGATGAAGGAGGCGGTGTTGATATAGCGCTCTGCGTAGGTCTTGTTCGTCCAGTCGAGAGAGTTGGGGTACCGCCAGGCATACTGATGCGCTACAGGGTTCCAGAGCTTGTAGCGAGCGGACTCAACAAGGTGCCAGCCGAACCACCAATCGTACATCTCACCGTTTACTGGAAGATGCAACGAGGTTAGATCAATTTTTCCATGCCAGAGTTGAGAAGACTGTAAGGAATGCACGTACTATCCGGAATTTCGGTTCGGGCAGTAAGCATCACGGTGCCGTTCAGGGAAACCGCATAGCCGTTCTCCATCTCCTGATATCCGGGCTGAGACATGTAGTATCCGGCCTCATGAGCATCGTAGGCTGCACATCCAGGAGTGGCACTTGTCAGCTTCCAAGCAACAGCGGGTGGGTCTCTGGAAAAGAGGGCACCTACCGAGAGCAGCAGCAAAGGGACTGGAAGAGACTCCCTTCTGGACTTCATCAGAGATAGGGGCGACATGAGGACGCCAGTACTTGGCGAAGGGCTTCTCAAAGTCAGCCTTCGTATAGCCCAAGTAGTACTTGCTGGTGTCGTTTTGATAGGCTTCCTTGTTAGTTGAGATCATACTAGTCCCCAAACTAGTAGGCGAAGAGGTGGGCACTGCAGAAGTCGGAGTGCCAAAGTTGGATTGGGCAGAGGCACCCACAGCCAGGAACATAGCGAGGTATTGGGCAGGCACCATAGTGATGATCAAGATGTAAATTGAGGGAGAGGAAAGTTACAATGTTGAGCGAGGAAAGATGTGGCGATGAGATTCGCCTCTCGGTCCCCTTATATAGACCAGTCAGTCATGCTTCGGCCACTCGGAGGTGGGGATTCGTCTCAAATCCGAAGTCCGGCAAGGAGTATTGACGTATGGAAACAGATCTGATGATTTAGGATCTTCATAGTTCTCTCCGTTCGTTTGGGCTTCCATGATCCCTGCAGTAGGATTTAGGGTCTCCAAGTGGGGATTGGATCTTCAGATTCGGCCCGACTTCGCCACAACTACACAGTAGTAGCTAAGCTAACCAACACTACCTAGAGGTCTATTACCTGGACAGAGCTTGGTCGACCCATCCAAAATCTTCTCCTCGAGGGATTTCAATCGGCGTGCTCCTTTTCCCACTTTTCCACATCGCAACCCCCCTGTCCCGAATATCGGATCCGCGGCTAATGCACTATTAACCCGACTCCCATAAGTCGGCAAAGACCGCGATTCATGCCCAGGATCCATGCAGCTGCCCCAAGATTCAGGTGAGTTGCCTTATGAAACTATGGCAAGTCTTGGGGGCTGAAAATCGATGCTCGCCACGGTGTGATGGCGCTGCCGCACAGAATACTCCGTGTATGCCGGCGAACTCTGATATACCCACTCCTCCCCGATCTCCCCGCCCACTATTACGCCGGGCAAAAGCATGATTAAATCCTGGCTTGAGAATCTTCTGCAAGGATCGCGATTCAATACGTCACGTTGGTTCCAGCGTCAGTGCCACCCAAGGCTTTGTGCCATAATCCGAGCATTTAGACTAGTATAATCGGTAGAGAGGATCATGGAACCAAACGATACAGAGATAAAGTCTCATATTAAAATAGCGTAGAATAGTCTATCTCTCCTCAGCCCACAGAGAATTATACGACCAGGTGACTGTGAAATTGCTCGAAAGAAAGATAACCCTAGGATATGGAACGACGTCCCATACCTAAATACGGCTTTCCTCCAACAAACCTCTCACCCCACGAGATATTTCAAGGCACCCTTTCAATATCCATCTCTAGGGTCCCCCAAACGACCCCTATTTAGGAGCCGGCGCACATGACTTATTCAAACTAAGAGCCTGTTCTTGTCTGTCTGCAAGGGACTGCAGAACAGTTTCCTTTTGCTGTGAAGTAAGACCGGAATTTTCTTGTACTTTTTTTGACACCTGCGACCGCTAGATATGAAGATATCAGTCAAGTGACCACTTCATATTTGAAGGACAATAGATTACTTACACATGTGTCAAAGGACTTCTTCAAGGTTTCCTCGGACGGGGCGGTATCGGTGAATCCTCCAAGCGACTTGATCATGCAAGTGCGAAGATCCCCAAGCGGCACACAATCGGGGTATCCGCCGCAGTATTGAAGGTTCGCGATAAAGGATTGGGAAAAGCATCGAATATAATTGTCATTGGTTTGCTCGACATCTCTTTGGACAAAGGTTCCTCGGTTGCCGATCGGCTCGGCAAAGGCAAAACTGGCAGCCATAAGAGAGCAGAGTAATTGGAGCTTCATCTTTAGATAATGCCAAATAGTCTCGGCGATGGGGGGTAACTTTCTTGCGGTATGATGACGAGGAATGTATCAAAGGCTTGGAGACAATGCACTGTATCCAAGAGTTGTACCGATCTTTATATACTTCCTACGCTTTTATGCCTTCAGTTACAGCAGTCTCTTGCAAGAATCAAAATAGGGAATATTCAATACTGTACAGGAAATATTGAATGGATATGTATATAATATCAGTCATTTATATCTTCCCAGCTATGAACGATACATATGGGGATGGTGGCGTATGTGATGTCTATATGATATATCCAGAGTCTGGATACGGATCTGATTTGATACATTAATGTAGTCTATGCATACACTATAATCTAGGTCAAAAGAGGATATAATGTTCCTGAGCTAGTATTGCCTTTCCCATAATACAAACCTGTCACTTTTACTTCCTCCCTTCAGGCTAAAATTCGCCAAGCTATTTTGAAAATAGTCTGACGATTAACCGATCAATGTCTTGAAGGGTAAAGTGAATAATACAAGCTTGACCAGATCCCCTTTGAGGATAATACAACAGTCAGGGTTGTACTAAGAGCCAGCCAGTTCTCTACTACCGTTAGACATCCCGTAAGTATTGCCCTTGCGTGGTGACATGTAACGCCTGGGACCAACCCCCAACCGTGACCTCAAAGTCGTTTGCAGATGCTCTGTATTTTTTCATAAGACATGTTGTTTTTCATAGTATATCCTCCCCGGATATTGTTGCATTGAGTCCCATAATGCTCGATATTTGACTTGGTTTGGATAAAAACACACGACGATAAGTTGCAAATCTGGCCGTTCACAGATTCACAGAGAGCCCGTAGGCCCTCCGATGTAGGACGGTAAAAGTCTGGTTCTCCTTGTGCTTGAACACATGAAGCGAGAGTATACTTCACGGGTTGGTCTAAAGTACAAGCAAGGTAGGTCGAGCCCTTGAAAGACTCGGTATGATATGTTCCGTTCTCACAGTTGAGTTCGCATTCCTCCTTTGTGCCACAGAGTTGGCTCGTAGACGGGTTAGCAGCTTGGGCTGCGCCCAAAAAGACGAAAACGATGGCTCGAAGGCTGAAATGCATATTGACTGGTGTCCGTGTCCTGCACGTTGGAAATCAGACAGGTTAGACGGTTTACGCCTATGGAATAATAACTCACTAGTGTCTAGCAGCCAATTCAATTTCGAGCAGCTGAGAGGTAGTTCAGTTTGATATTTTGTTGACGGGAAAGCAAATTTTATAGTCACAAATGATTCCTTGGGAATTAGAAAGGTCCGGACTTGCTGGGTTGGCTTTTCATGATAGTCCCTTTCTGGGCCATTTTTGGAAAGAAGATCGTGAACTCTGCCAAGATCTGCACTAGGGCCCTTCATGTGGGACCCCATTGGCCGATTTTGCATCCGTCTCTCTGGTGTGCATGATTTCCTCCTCAGATTGCTCCATCTAACCCAATAGCACTGTCGATCTCTACGCCACAAAATTGAAGGTCACGAGGGTTGATTGTTGGCAGTGATAGATAATTACAGCATCGACCTCCCCCTATTCATGACCCCTTCGGCTGACATGCCATAAGCTCATACTACGTTTAATGCGCTGTGGTGCAGCCATTGTTCAACAACTGCCCATGTAAGTAGACCACCTGCAACGGGTCACCACTTCGACCATTTTCACCAACCTTGATTAGTATGTTGCGTAGAATCCCGGCTTCTGTAAAGGTTTATGCTGCAGTGTACAGGGCAAAGTGTACAAGGCAAAGGGTAATCAGTTTTCAAATTTTGCGAGCAAACAAAGCAAGTTGTAATCTGTATAACATTTTAGCGCCATAGGTCATCGCACGGGTGGGGAGATGTGATAAATCAGATAAAGCAAGGGGCGCGAAGGGTGAATGCAACTATTGAACCATGTTTCCTTTTCCTCAGCTCCTCATCGCTAAGCCTTGCCTCTTTGGTCAAGTTTCGCGCAAGTATCTGATCTGTCTCAATGTCAAGGAGTGGTGCATGGTGGAACAGTATAGAACCTTCAATAACCCACGTGCTATATAGGAGGGCGCGTGAAGGGTAATGACGAGGGCAAAAGCCATTTCAATAGTGCCTCGCGGAAGGTGGTTAAAGAAGATGTGCCGGCTAAGGGTGCCTTGCCCACCGAGGTTCCATACTCTGACGCCTCCCCAGGTCTGTTGTTAGGGAAGCTTGCACCCTGTCAGGCAGATGAAAAAGGACAGGTCGCATCGGATTAGGGTTATCCTTGGAACTTGTCACGGGAGGCTGCAGTAGGCAAGAATCCACAGGAATGCTGCCGGAAAGGCAAATAAATGGTGAGTCTATCCCCGGGGTCAGTTGCAAATGAATCTACACAGTAATAAACATGTCAGGCAACTGGTCCCGAGGAATCACTTTGGATCTGGAATCCGGCGGCATTTTATTGTTTATAAGCTTCGGCAACTTTTTCACGGCATTCTACCGATTGGCCAATGTCTCAGTCAGCTTTGCCTAGCAGCTACTGTAGGATATCTCCATAACTCAGGGTGTCACATTGTACAATTGGATGGCCTAGTCTTGGCTGGTTTGATTTTACGATCTGCTCCATAGCGTATTAGGCAAGTCATCCCGACTCCAAACGCAACCGGCTCATTTTCTATCTCAGCACGGCCCAATGGCAATGGTAAACCACCTGTCATATTGATTTATACACATGGAATATATTACCGAGCAAACCCTAGATTTCGAAGCGAGGGTCGAATATATACCCCATGATGCCATGTTTATACCAGTTTTTGCTTAAATCTTCAGCGTCCTTGTCTCGACTTCCAACGCCTCCAGGACTGCAGCTTCGATATCTGCATGACGTGGTTCCCACCCAAGAAGCTTCCGAGCTCTGATCGCCTTGCAACGTGATGTGGCACCGTAAAAGAGAGACGCAAAATCAATTTGATTATCTGCCTCCTCTGCTTCGAAGCTTCGTACTTCCGCTGATTGAGTGAGCCCACGTATCTGTGCCTCACGAGCCAGGAGAGACGAAACGTCTCCCCACACGTGTTCTCCATTCTCGGCAAAGTAATATCCTTCATGATTCCATGATGCCCTCGTGCCATTCTGAATAGCTTCTCCAAAAAGGCGGAGAAATATGTCACTGAGGTCTGCGACATGGACATTGGGCCATATGGAGAGGCCTTTGCCCACCTGAAGACTGTGGCCTTTCTGCAGGGTATAGCGCGCTAGATCTGGAATCTGGATGCTGCGCTGATTGCCACAACCACGTCCAATACCATATATGCACGGAGCACACACGATTGCGGTCTTCACAAACGTCCCTCCCGCGGCCAGCTGGACGCACTCCACATCTCGATGGGGAGCAGTATCAGGAAGGGATGTCACATTGGAGAGGCCGTCCCAGTCATCATAGATTTCGTCACTAGGTTGTTCTCCATACGTGTTATTTTCACAATCCTTCCACGCAATATTGTCCGTGCCCGAGACGGAAATCCAATATGTGGCCTGTTGGAATTTCTCGCGTCTCTGAAGAGCGCGGCTAATGGCTCTCGCAGACTCAACGTGCTCTATACTTGCAAAGTGCAGTATAATATCTGCCTTGGATGCTTCAGCTTCGATAACCTCTGTATTGTCGAGGTCCCCGTACACGAGGCGAATTGATGGGTAGCGTGCTAGCACCTGGTCTCCTTTCTCCGTCGTCCGGACGAGGCAGGATGTTCTTGCCACGCAGGAGGGGTATTTCTGGGTAATAGCATGCCAGGCATCCCCTCCAATGTAGCCTAGACCACCAGTCAGCACTATGCACCATCGATCTTTGGGGCCACACTACCCATTAATGATTACGCACCTGTTACACCAGTAATGAAAATCGATGGAGATTTGGGAATTCCTGACATTGTTACGACTGCTAGTATTTAGTTAATACTGTGTTGAGGTATATAGTACTAAAGGAGGGGTGACAGGCGACGTTGAAGCCATACTTAAAGCTACGGACGGTGATCATGCTCTACTAGTTGATACGCCTTTTTGGGGAAGTAGGAAGAAAGTACGAAGTCATGATTATTAAGTTAAGCAGAAAGTCTCCGGGCCGGCATCCACAGTCCATCCGAGTCAACTTTCGTGGCCCAAGAGAAAATCCCCGCGTGAACCAGAGTATCTTGGCAGCTCATCCTAATGAGTAGGTGGATGTCGCCCCGAAGCCTAGATAGGAAGGTGAAGCCTATTTAGATGGTTAAAAGATACACTAGTAAAGCCCTTTCATATGCGTCTCTAATATCCTAGAACAATGTAGTTTAGAATGTATAAAAACTACCTAAACTAGACCATGTTTTTAATGATTATACAAGTGTTTTCTCCGAGTATCCAGAGCCTGAGAATGAAGATGATAATACAACTATTGACGCAGCACTGCCTATACTCCAGACGTTCAGCCCACTGAAGGTCTTTGCCGAGGCCCAAGTAATAATGTATCGGGTCGGGTCGGGTCCGTTTTATATAGGGTTTTAGCCCTATACCAGGAAGATATACTCCGTACGCAGATATGCATCTACGTTCGAAACCAGTCTTAATTATGTTCGATAACTATATATTATATCTTTTCAAAAAGTAGCTTTCCTTACATAGCGGGTTCAAACAGCCACTCTACCGAGAAGGGACTGCATTCGTCACATTCAATCAGTGCTCAATCGCAAATGTCATGAATCTAAGCATCACTGGGATCAATCTTCGATCAGGGAATATTGGGGAACATCCATGCTCTGTACTGTAAAACCAAGTAAATAATTTTGAGAAAGCATTATTTCAGTGTTGCCGCTTTAACCCTCTGTAGGGAGTGAATCGGGAGGCAGCAATGACTGGAAACAAAATATACTCGGTCCAACATCCTTCTCTTGCATATAATTCTTCAATATCATTCGGGAAGCCCAGCAGCTCTGATTCATATAAGCACGACTGAACGCATCAAACCGGGCCACTTGTCTTTGTTCGAGCACACAACCTGCACACATCCAGACGCCTCACCATTTCTGCCCAAAACCCAATCGGCTGCTCCGTCTCGACTGCCTCGTATGCCGCAATAAGATCTGCCTCCCATTTCAAATCGACCTCGCTGGGTCGTAACCATCGGGTTCGTTTGTAGACCTTCCAGCCAATGAATGTGACAGGTGCCAGCAACAGCATAGTATAGCTGAGAAAGAAGTTCGCAGTATTCCATGGTGTAAAGCTCCGGTAGCCAAAGAAAAGAACCATCAGGGTCATCCAAGCCAGTGCGATGTATCCACCATAAGGCTGGAATTGTCCCGTATATAGTAGCTTGGATCGATGGAAATTCTGTGCCTTGCAGGCGTTATAGAAGCAGATGTAAGTAGTCGTAATAATGATATAGTCGATGAGGATGTTGGCAGTTGTTAGGCTAATGAGCCACTCTAACACTTGCATCGCGCTACCGGACAGTTCGAGGAACGAGAGACACGCAAATGCCATAACCACGATAAAGCTATATATCGGCACACCTCGTCGATCAGTCTTGGAGAAGATTCGTGGTGCTCGACCTTCAACCGCCATGCCATGTAGCGCCCGGGTCGCAGCGTAAGTGTAAGTATTTCCCGCAGAGAATACTGTTGTCACCACCAGGGCGCTAACGATGTGAGGGAGGGCTCCGACTCCAAGATTCTGCATAGCAATGATGTAAGGTGATGCCGCAGCAGATGATTCTCCACTTTCTAAAGCTGCAACGAGGGTAGGGTCATTATACGCGATAAGGGTGCCAACACACAAGGCGCCCCCGACAAAAAAGACACCAAAACGCCAGTAAACGGTCTTGAAGGCTTTCTTGATGTATATGCGGGCGTGTTTGGCTGCTGCTGCCACCGTGGAGATGTATTCCGGTCCGACGACGGTGAAAACGGCAATCCATAAAGCGCCAAGTAACCCTTCAAAATGGCCGAGCTCTCCTCCAGATGCATACTCTGCGAATGTGCCGGGGGGTTTCCAGTAGCGGAATCCATACGCATCGCCTTTGGGGTTGCCGCCGACCATGGTAATGAATGTGAACAAAAATAAGATGAAGATCAAAATCACTTTCCCACTAGAGAGCCAAAATTCGGCTTCACCGTAGGTACCAACGCAAGCAAGTTAATAACTCTAGAGCACCACATTCTGGTTAGCTTGTTCTTCAGTCCTGAGATAGTAATGATTGTGGATATGTTCCCTCACGCGTAAGCCGCTGTACAAGCCAAGCACACTGCGACAACAGGAATGTCATCTCGCCAGTACCCCAGGAGTACGTTGACTGCCGAAATCTCGAAGGGCACCGTTAGAGCCATATAGATAAAGAAATTCCATCCAGCCATGAATCCCCAGGCGTCATCCACCCAGTAGCCAACGAGTCGAATGAATCCACCGCTTACGGGCATGTAGGTCGTCATCTCAGCAAGACAATTATTGAGCATGCCGACCATAAGAGACTCGATGATGAAGGCAAGAAGCAAGCTTCCTGGTCCTCCCTTATATAGACCGGTTCCAATCGCAATGAACAAGCCGGTGCCGATGGAGCCTCCAATAGCGACGAGCTGGATCTGACGGTTCCCAAGGCGACGGTGCAGGCCGCCTACACTATTAGCCTGGGAGACAGCACCCTCGTTCCAATCATCTTTGTTGTGGTTTAGCCCGTCCTGTTCATAATCTTTGGCCTCATATTTGTCTTCGGTGACAGCGGGTATGTCGGGATTATCTGCCAGAAGGGAGGAGCTCATAATGCGGTTCAAGAGAAACAATTTTAATTTTACTAGTTTATGTGAATAGTCTCAACATGAGAAGATACTTGATACTCTACAGGGTGTCGGAAGCTGTATTTATATTCTCTTTGCTGCGGGCTCGAGGGTCTGCGTGGAGGATACTTCATATAGTCAAACACGCATCAATGTTGACTTTCTGAGTAAACATGAAAACCCTAAATACAGAGTCTGGTTCTTCGTATGGGGAAATCTGGGGTACAGGCTCTTCGGCATCATCGGGAACACCAAGGTTTGTTGTATATCGGCTCGGCTCGGATGGATTACCTTGGCCATGACAGTAACCCATATTGCAGCCGTTAGCACCCAGCGTATTTATTGGCCAGCCGATATCACTCTCTTTGTGGCGTCCGCACCCCAAGACGATACGTGGCATCTGCCTGCATCCGGCGAATGGCCGAGCAATGGAACCTGGCCTCGCGGGGAGTATCGCGAGGGGCGCCGCGGTGCGGAGGCCAGTGGACCAGCCCATCCGCCTAGATAACCGGTGGCTTTTCGGCAGAATGGCTTTAGGACACTGGTGGCCAATGACAATCTCTCAGTCGCTATTATCACCCGATAAGCTGGCAGCCTCGGACACTATATACCAAGGTGACGCATATCTCCTGACTACACCAGGATCAGATAAGATCTACCCGGGAAGGCTGCTAGTAGCCCAAGCGCCTTGTCTATATACCTGACTCCAAAACCAGATTAGAGTCAGTTCAAGTATGAATTAATGTACAATACTTTAAGCTCAGCATGCGTTTGAACAACTATATTATAAAACATAATAATAAACAATTCAAAAACCATACTCGAAGAGAATGCACCTCAACCAGACTTAGAAGCATCATTAGTTTCACTAAGAGAAAGTTGTATACGTATACCTCTTCGAGTCAGCCTCGCCCTACGCTAAACCAACCGCGCTAAATTCTGACTCAAGTCACAACAGGCACCCTCGGATTTATCGCATTTTGGAGATATACGATTATCGGCGATAACCCATGTATGGCGGATTTAAATCGCCTGCTGAAAAGGCATAAATAGAAAGGTGCTTCGTTAAGATGAGATTCCTAACATCAGACTTCGCATATCTTTCGCAACATTCAATACGAAAACATGACTACCCTCGCTGGAAAGAGAATTAGCCAGAATGGCCTAGGCTTGATGCGTGCGTATACCATCTATTACTTCCCTCTGACCATGTCGACAATCTTCTGACATGCCGCAGGCCTTATCTGGCATTACGGGCCCACCCCAGATGAAAAAGCCTTCAAGGTGCTCAAAACCGCCCTAGCAGCCGGGGCTAATGTCTGGAACGGCGCAGACTTCTACGGCCTGCCGGACAACAACTCCCTACATCTAATGAATCGGTATTTCACTGCCTATCCCGAGGATGCTGAGAAAGTGGTCTTCACCGTTAAATCTGGTCTGGTGGACATGAAGACCTTCTCGATGGACTGTTCCCGGAACGGCCTGCGCGCCTTCGCAGACAACGCACTCAAGATCCTGGATGGGAAGAAGAAGATCGACATCTTTGGTCTGGGAAGAGTGGATCCCAATGTACCAATCGAGGAGAGCGTGAAGGCTCTGGCGGAGCTCCGGGATGAGGGGAAGATCGGGGGTATCCAGCTGAGCGAAGTGCGGGCGGACACCATCCGCCGTGCAGCCCGTGTAACGAAAATCGACATGGTTGAGGCCGAGGTCAGTCTCTGGTCGAGAGAAGTCTTTGAAAATGGGGTTGCAGAGGCCTGCGCGGAGAACGGCATTGTCCTGGTGGCACATACTCCATTGGGCGCTGGAATGTTAACGGGAGCCATCAAGAGCGTGGACGATCTGCCTCAAACCCATCACCGCATGGTTCCCCGCTTCCAGCCTGAGAGTATTGCTCAGAACCGCCTGCTTGTTGAGCAACTGGAGAAGCTTGCCCAGTCAAAGGGTTGTACTACGGCTCAGCTGGCACTGGCATGGGTGAAGGTTCAGAGCAGAAAGCCAGGGATGCCCTTCATTGTACCAATCGCGGGTGCCAGGTCTGAGGAACGAGTTTTGGAGAATACGGCAAATGTTGAATTGGACGATAGTGACCTTCGGATGATCCAGTCTATCTTGGACAACTATCCCGTGGCAGGGGCGAGATATCCACCAGCGGCTGCCAGATTGAATGAGTATTAGACGATTAGATGGAATCCCCTCCCCTCTTGTATAATAGCTGCTTTGCGTGTTTGTATATAAAAATCTTAGAAATCTGATGCAAACCATAATGCTCATAGTTCTGCTAGACATAAGACCCTCTGCCGGTGCAGAACTATTACACCCTCTAACCACCGACCAGCCAACATCACAATACTTCTTCGACCTAGCCCCGTCCTATCCATGGCGCAAGAATAATCTTGTGATCTAACTATCACTCGGCCTCCTGAAACAAAAATGATGCATAGTCATCTAAACACAGCCCTTGCTCAAGGGTTGAGTAATTCGTGCATGGGTTCATCAAATTCCCTGACGGGCTGTAGGCTAGTATGAAGTATGAACATGTTTCAACTAGAAAAACATTCAATATCATCAATTTCTGTCCTTCATATGATGTAGTATCTCATTTGCGGGCCATTTGCAGCAAATCGCTCATGGACAATCAGGCCTTGAAAATCACACGCAGCCTCCTGATCAAAGACGTCTTCCGTGGGACCGACTCTTCATCAATGGAATCAGCATAAAAGTGCCGACACTTATCCAAGTCAATATTGCGCGCATCTGCCCACTATCCAGTATTTATCTTGCTGTCAGCTGTGCAATCCTGTGTAAGAAGGCTGTCAGATAGCCAGTTAGATGAACGGCAACAGTTACAATAAACTGCTATAAGGTGTGATGTTGCTAATGCATTATTTTGATTTACCAGTTTCTGAACGTTTTTCATACGCTCATTTCATCCACTGCCCCGAACTCTGCCGCTGTTTCTCCCTTACGATCTCGCACCTGGCCATATGTAAAGGGTGGCTGATAAAGATAGGATGCAGACTAGAGAAGCAAAGACTCCGACTACAAGAGAAGTGAATTTATAGACCAGGATCTCTCCGCAAACAGACAGTAAGCGTAGACCTTTAGAAGGGGGAACAGAGGATTAGAATCTGTCTATAGTACCGATTAAACTGTATAGGCTAACTGGAGTATGAAAAGACTAAATATATAGAAATACTTAGAAGATATTTCTACATAAGAACTAATCTCTGGGTCATGCAGGATGAACGGGTAGCTGTAGCCTGTAGAAAACGCGCGTTGGATGAGCAAGTATTTCGATAGTATATATCCCGAGGAGGAGAACAACGCGATCGCTATTTAGAATAAGTGCCGCAGGGACTTTTAAATGGGAGTTATGTAACTAGAACTACTTCCGTTCTATGATTTTGTAGATATCTCGGTCACATAGCTGCACTTCTATATAAGTTTAGAGACACAGGAAGAACTGGTACAAGAGATTTTCTTTTTTCTAGACATAGGATAGCCCTGAGAGATATATAACAACCAAGAATCATAATTCTCAGTTGTGCATCTGAGAGAGAAAGTTAAGGATTTCTATCTTCACTAGGAGTCGTTGCATGGTGAGGTTTGTGCAAGTGCTGGAATGTAGGGTTACTTTGGCAACCACGGGGTATAGGATGGGGGCAATAAACCAGTGGAGCCCGTAGAGTCGAACCACGGCTCCCTCGGACTCTCGGAGCCCGAGCGCTGATCAATACCATAAGCCATTCAAGGTTTAATATTTCATGACGTAGTATCTGCTTCGCTTTATTTAGACCCGCAGACGAAGATATTTGGAAGGTCGATAGTTTCGATTTCACTACACGTCCACGAACCGTCGTTCAACCCCATCACCTTACCCTACAATGGCATCCTTCTCCAAATCGATCGCAATCGTCGCCGGAGCTGGACCAGGAACTGGCGCGTCGATCGCCCGCCGCTTTGCGAAGGCATACCCCGTGGTGCTCCTTGCGCGCAGTCAAGCGAGCCTCGAACCTCTGGTCCAGGGCATCAATCAGGATGGAGGATGCGCCATTGGCATCCCATCCGATGTCACGAATGCAGGGAGTCTAAACTCCACCCTGAAACAGATCGAGCAGCGGTTCGGATCTGATCTCACGGTTTCGGCGGCCGTCTTCAACGTGGCGAGCAAGTTCACGCGCGCGCCATTCCTGGATTCCGGCGCAGAGTTCCTGGATAGTCTCGAGGCGACTGCGCGGGGGGCCTCGAATTTCTCCAAAGCAGTGTTGCCATTGATGCTGCGCGCAGTGTCGCAGGCAGAGTTGCGCCATCCGCCGACGATGATATTCACCGGTTAGTGGTCGACCGATCGCCGGATCGTGGGCGCGATGCTGACGGCCGCAAGGCAGCCGGGTGACGCCCTGTCCAAACTCCACAGCCACCATGCTGATTAGTCGTTCTAGGTGCAACAGCCGCCATGAAGGGGGGTCCCGGCTTGGGTTCATTTGCCATGAGCAAATTCGCTGTCCGGGCGCTCTCCCAGTCGCTAGCGCGCGAATTTGGTCCCAAGGGCGTGCATGTTGCTCATGCCATTATCGACGGGATCATTGCGACGGAGAAGACCAAGGATTATAACAAGGACACACCCGATGCGAAGATCGACCCCGACTGGGTGAGTACTTTGCTTTCGCCGTGCTTTAGGCGAGAAAGATCACCGCTAACTGTGCAATTAGATCGCTGAGACGTACTGGTTCTTACATACCCAGCCCCGGTCGAGTTTCACCCATGAACTTGATCTCCGACCATACTGCGAGAGCTGGTGAATAGCCCCATAATCACGGCAGTATTGATCAGAGAACTTCAAGGGTTAGTTCTATATAAGTAGCTACTTAGTGTAATTCA